GAAATTCAAATTTAATTGGGTGTTCTGTGTTCTATCTGGCAAATTGACACTAGGGCACTATATAGTCTGCAACTATCAAAGCTGGGTTCCCGCAGGTTACAACTAGAGAAAGGCGGTAAGAAAATGAGGTGAAGACATGCTGCTTTCCTGAGGTCTAAGCCCAGAAATGTCACATACCATTTCTGCTCATCTTCCAGGGACAAGAACTTAAGTTATATGACTATACCTAACTGCAAAGGAGGCTGGGAAATGTTGGTTAGTTCAGTGCTCCAAAAAAAACGAGACCAACAGTCTTCATCAAAAGAACCTCTTGGGTTGATGTTCTGTGTGCTTTATTTCTTCTTTCCTTATCTGTATTTTTGCTCTACATCGTAGAGGCTTATCTTGATTTTCTCTTCCAAGTGGTCTCTTGAATATCTTATGTTAGCTGTCATATGTTTAATTTCCAAAAGCTATTTGCTATTTTCCAATTTTCCCTTTTCCACTAGCAACGTTGCTTGTTTTATGGAGGTGGTATCTTCCCAGATCTTCCTGAGGATATAATTAGAATTTTAAAAGATTCTACTGCTCCATTATAACTTTCTGTTGTCTGGAGTCACTTATTCTATTTACCTTGTCTCTCTCTTTCATGCCTCTAGCCATCTTCTTAACTCTGGTGTTCCTCATTGACTGTTTATGGAGTAACAAACCAAGTTGATTAATCTCAGTAATTGAGTTGGTTCCCTCTGTTGCTGTATGTTTCCCTGAGAGGTCACTCTCTTGAACAGGAAAGCTGAGGGGGTCTTCTGGAAGGCTTTTCTGTAGTGTGAGTGGATGGGTCATTGTTGGAGGATGAGGTGGGAAGAGGCTTTGTAAATGTCACAATGACAAAAGTTTTATTCTGGGATATCAATGCTATACTAAACACACCAGGTTTCTCCAGATTTATTGGATTTCTATAGAATGAGCCTTCTGGGATCCTGCTATGTGTGTTTTATTTTTGTCTGGAGGTAAGCATCAGTTACTCTCCACTCTGGAGGTGAGAGGGAGGTGCCTGGTGCAGCTGCACAGACAGACCTTCTACAAACTCTATAGTTCTTAGACCCATTTTTCATGTCATCAGTACCTGCCAACCATGAACTCAGAGCCTCTCTGTGGTTTTGCCAGGAAGACTGGCTCTCACTTCCATCGTCTGAATTCTGGGCTGTGGCTTCCTCCACCCTGCTAAGTCATCAGTGTGTGTCATCGACTTTTAGAAATTGTTGAAGTCTCTGCACATGCCACCCCTCTTCCCTGCCATTCTCTCTGCTGTTATGTTTCGATTCCTTTTATGTTATTTCAGAAGGAAGGGGAAACAATCACTTTTGTTCAGACTAGAGTCTTAAACCTTTAGTATGCTTACATGCTTTGTGAATCTCCAAGGGTATTTATTGGTTTATTTTCACAACTGCTTCATGAGGTAGGTGTTATGTTGTTAAATGGTGAGGCCTTTGTTCTGCCGAGCTCCTTGATGTGTTTCTGTATGCAAATTGGCATCAGGGACTGAGGAAAGCCAAACAGCTTTTTGTAATAGAGTAGAAGCTGGGGCATCGGGGTGGCTAAGTCAATTCGGTGCCCAACTCTTGTTTCGGTTCAGGTCATGATCTCAGCGTCCTAAGATCAAGCTCCATGTTGGTCTAAAGCGTGGAGTCCGCTTGAGATTCTTTCCCCTTCTCCCTCTCACCCCCCCCCCCGCTCTGCTCCTTCCCCTGCTTGAGCTCTCCCTCCCTCTCTCTCAAATATATAAATAAAATCTCTTCATAAGAGAGTGAAAGAATCTGGTTTCCAGGGCAACTGGAAAAGGATAAGGGCAACAATGGGAGGGAAGAGAGGAAGCTAGGGACATGCCACGATGGGAGCCCCTCCCCAAGACTTCCAGTCTCTCAAAGGAATTCTAAACTTACAGAATGCTTGGTGTGGCAGAATTTCTTGGGGAAGCCAATGAAGGTGCTTAGTTCTGCGACAGGGCGGACAGGGACAAAACAGAGGCTTGTACAGTCTTGGGAACCTCAGGCAAGAGGAGACCATGAGAATATGAATCTCAGGAATCTGCAGAAATTGTGTGGAGGGTTTGGACTTTCCCACGCTGTGGAACTGGCAAGGCTCTGAGGCAATCATACAGAGCTCTCTGTGGGTCAGGAGGGCCCCAGCTGGCACTCGGCATATTTCCAACTTACCTAACCCCCTTTAGTTCACCCTCCACACTAGCCTGAATGATCATGCCATTCCCCTGCTTGAAAATTCTATGGTCTACAGTTCAAAATTCTTTATCCTGGCATCCAACACCCTTCACAATCTGGTCCCTGACTACCTACCAGCTTCATCTCCTCCTCACAGGACACTCTGATTATGTCAAATGTTTCACTGTTCCTTAAAACACCAAGCTTTCCCTTCCATCTGAAGTAACCGTCCTCTTCTTTGCCTAGTAAACACCGACTCACTCAAGACCAGGCTCAATCATCATCTCACCTTCTCCTTCCCTCCAAAGAATTAGCCATTCCCACCCGTGGTCTCCCAGTACTCTGTTTTGAGGAGTTTGTCTTCCTCTGAGTTCCCTGCAGGAAAGATCGTCTTATTCAATTTTGGACCCCAATGTCCAGTACAGGCCAGTTTAAGGCCCTCCCCTGGGCTCCTAGAGCACCCTAAGTACAACCGTAATGACACCCATCAACCTGCACTGTAACTCTGGGTTTATGTGCCAATCTCCTACACTCAGAAAATGAAGAGAATGAAAGAGGAAATTAGGGAAGTTAACAAAAAAAGGAGGTCAGAGAGTGAATAAGTGGACTAGTCAGGACTCACAGGTCTGAACCAACACAGAAACCCTAGCCTATGAACTTGGGTCAAAAAGGAGCAAATGAGATTGGCCAGCAAGTCATGTCCCAAGATCAAAGCAAATGCCCAGTACATTGGTCCTGGGTCTTACTGGCAGCTGAGACTCCCAGAAAGTCACAGCAATTGTCACTAAGGCTCTAGGTCTGGAAGGATGATATCAAGCTCCCCAGACAGGGGACCAGTAGACCTAACTTGTTAGTGGATATAATGAAGAGCATGGCCTTGGAATCCCACATACCTGATTTGGATCAGCTTAGCCATTAGGTCAGGTCATTTAACCTTTCAGATTTGTTTTATCTCAAAAATGGGGATACTACCACCTTACAGGATAGTTATGGAGATCAGAGATAATAGATGCATGAGAAATGGTGCTCAGTGGTGTTTGATGGCAACTTTAACTATTAGGGAGTGTGCCAATTCATACATGCAAGTTTGGGTGACTATATGTTTAAAATATCTTGTATGCAGATTTTCAAGGAGCAGGAAAATGTATATGCAATAAAAGTGCTTTGTAGAATACAAAAACATTAATTCAAAGGGATACATGCACCCCTGTTTATGGCAGCATTATTTACAACAGCCAAATTATGGAAACAGCCCACATGTCCATCAACTGATGAATGGATAAAGATGTGGTGTACAGACAATGGAATATTATTCAGTCATAAAAAAGAATGAAATCTTGCCATATGTAACAACATGGATGGAGCTAGAGATATAATGCTAAGTGAAATAAGTCAGTTGGAGAAAGACAAATACCATAATGATTTCACTCATATGTGGAATTTCAGAAACAAAACAAATGAGCAAAGGGGAAAGAAAAGAGAGACAAAGCAAGAAACAGACTCTTAACTATAGAAAACTGGTTACCAGAGGGGAAGGGGGGGCGGAATGGATGAAACCGGTTAAGGGGATTAAGGAGTGCACTTGTGATGAGCACTGGGTCATTAAAATAAAAGTTTTTTTAAAAAGTACTTTGTAAACTGTAGTATCCTACATATGTCAGGGAATTGTTTGGGAAGTCTTTTATAGTTGGAAAAAATACAGGCTTTGGATTTAGGCAGAAGTAGGTTCAGTTCCTGACCCTGCCATTTACTTGCCAAGTAATCTCGAGTAAGTCACTTCCTGTCTGCCTGTTTCTCCAACTGTCATATGTGGGTGATTCTTACTTCCCAGGGTTACGTGAGAATTCAACATGATGAGTATAAAGCTCCTAGCACATCCCTTCCTGGGTGGGTGGCAGGATCCCATGTGATAGGTCAGGTTATGGGTGGTGTCAGAATCATATTCTGGCAATTAGCTACAATGAAGAAGTCCCCTCACTCTGGAAGAGCAGGACCTGATTGGCAAAAGATGTAGAGTGGGGTCTTCTGTATTTGTTGGAGGAAATCTGGGTGAACATTAAACTGCCATGCAGAAAACACTGAAATCCGCCATGTGGAGCCAGGCTTAAACCAGGAGAGCACGAAGCTGGGAGGACCCCTGCCAAGCTGTCCCAGCCTTGGGAACTAAACTATTGCCACTAAAGGCAAAGACTGCCATTGTGGGTTCATCCCAGCCCTCACCCCCTGCTCCCCAACACTATCATTCTTCCTAAACACAAGGAAGTACCAATCAAGAATCTAAAGGAGAAAAGGTTCTCAGACTTGGCACTGACTTCCCACAGAGCGAATGGTGCGGGGCCACATCAAGAAGCCATCCTAGCTCCCCCTTCCAGGGACTCACTTGGTCCCAGGCCAGCCCCCCGAAGTGGCTCCTCCTTCTGGAGCCACTAGGTGCAAGCAATGGAAAGGGCACCAGCTCCGAATCAAGGGAGGCCCAAGTGTGAACTCTGGCCCCACCACAGCCCTGCTTTGTGACTTCACATCTCCTCACTTGTGCCCTCATCTTATTCCCTTGAGGGCTGCTGCGCCAGCTCAAGGAGACAAAGATGTAAATGTGACCCGTGACAGCAGATGTGGATGCTCACTGTTCTTTCTTTCCTCTTGTCTTCCTCCTCAAAGGCCCCAGAAACTCAGCCTGCTTTCCTCTGCTTTTCAGAGCAGCCACCCAGTCTTCCTGGGATCCAGCCCCCTTGCAGGGAGGCTGCAGTGCAACCAGCTCCCCAGCTCCCACTTCCTTGATGCCCCAAATAAGTACACAGGTCCTTTTCATTGAAGGGTTTTACTGCGAATCACAGATGCAGGTTAGGGTGGGGGAACAAGTCACAAACGTGGGGGACTGTGAAGGTCCCTGGATCGTGGCTCCCTGAGGGCTTCCCTTTCGTTCCTAAGGCAGGACCAGACCTCTTCTCCAGGCTGAGGAGGCCCCTTCCATTGGGAAGGCAGCTCCTCCCAGCGCAGGTGGGGCACAGCAGATGGGAACTGAGAGCCACCACAATACGCCCTAAGCAGTTCATCTACGATTTGGAGGACCTTCAGACAGTGATTGCCCACCTCACAGGTACTTCCTCAAAGGCCAGGGGATGGTTGCCCTAATGATACGGGCATGTGCTAAGCCTACCCTACTTCTCTTTCCTCCCAAGGAGATGAAGCCAAGACCGGATCCTCCAAACTTTCCAAGGCAAGAAATTGGCCCGGAAAGCGGCAAGGATTCTTACTCAAGAGTCCCTTCTCAGAACTTTCCAGAGATCCTGGCTTCAGAGGCAACAGGAAATCATTCTCCAAAGTGGGATGAAGGGCTTGAGGTCAAGGGGGCAGCAGCAGATCCTAGAGATCTTCCTACATGAGGCTGGGGTCTCTCCGCCTCTCTCCCTCATCGTCCTTCAGCTGGAGTCTTTCCCAGCCTGCTCTCCCATGTGTGTTTTCTGGTGGCGGATGAGGTTTGAGCTCCGGGAGAAGTGTTTCCCGCACAGAGTGCACCAGTAGGGCTTCTCCCCTCTGTGGGTCCTCTGGTGTGCTCCAAAGTTGGAGATGTCGCTGAAGGTCCGCCCACACTCGGCGCACTCATAGGGCCTCTCGCCTGTGTGCGTGCGGTGGTGCACGCCAAAGCTGGAGCTGTTGCTGAAGCTCTTCCCGCACTCACAGCAGATGTAGGGCGCTGGCTCCAAGTGGGTCCGATGGTGCACCGCCAGCGTGGCGCTCTGGCTGAAGCTCTTGCCACAGATGTCACAGCGGTACGGCCGCTTGCCCAGGTGGTCTTGCTGGTGCGTGGTGAGGTCCGAGCGCCGCCGGAAGCTCTCCTGACACTTGGGACATTTGTAGTGCTTCTCTTCTAGGTGGATCCGCTCGTGCCGGATGCGATTGGAGCTCCTCGAGAAGCTCTTGCCACATTCGGAACACTTGTAAGGCTTCTCGCCCGTGTGGATGCGCTGGTGTGTTCTCAGGTTGGAGGTATTATTGAAGGTTTTCCCACACTGGGCACATATGAAGGGCTTCTCGTCGGTCTCGGGCCTCGGGTGAGCCGTGGGGTCCCCGGGCTCTCCCGTGGGGACAGTGACTTTCTGCCATGGCTTTTTGGGATGAATCTCTTGCGGACCCTCCAATGGGCTCTCCTGCCCGTGCTCTTTCTCCCCATCTGGGATCCGAAAACCCTCTGAGTCATCCACTCTCCACGGCTTACCCCATTCCCCTTCCTCAGGCAGGTGCTGTTCCGGATTCTGGTCCTTCTCACTGCCCATTTCTGAACCCTGAGAATGAACACAAATGGCCAACACCTTTATTCCTGGGGTCTGGCTCCACCACAGGGAAACTTTGTTCTGGCTGAAGGGGTGTACCCCTTCCCCATGGAACCATCCATGAGAAATGACCTCAATTATCGGGAATACTTGGAGAGAATGCCTTTACTTAATAACTCTCAAGTGACAAACTTCCACAGATTGATTATTTATTTATTTATTTATTTATTTATTTATAAAGATTTTATTTATTTATTTGAGAGAGAGAGAATGAGAGATAGAGAGCACGAGAGGGAAGAGGGTCAGAGGGAGAAGCAGACTCCCTGCTGAGCAGGGAGCCTGATGCGGGACTCAATCCCGGGACTCCAGGATCATGACCTGAGCCGAAGGCAGTCGCTTAACCGACTGAGCCACCCTGGCGCCCCTTCCACAGATATTTAAAGCTACCCATCAGAGTAAAAAGAAGGCATCACTTTTGTCCCCTCCCAACAGATAGTTGTGCAGTGTGAATAATGGCACTTTTCTTCATACCACTAAACAATGACAGTCTAGACTTGAATTTGTGTGCAGCTAAAGGAGCTTCCGGTTGAGGACGATTCCATTTCTCTGCCTAACTCTAAGCTAACTGAAACTCCTTTTATTTTTAATCTTTTTTGAAAAACCTTCCTTAAAAGTATCCATTTGCCTGCTTTCAAAATGAACAGAACCTCTCATTCTTGAGGCTCTCCCAGTTGTTTAAATTCTCTTAAATGTTCCGCCACTCTTCCCTTCCCCAGACCGCAGCCTAGCCTAACAACTAGGGGTAACATCGGGGCCCTCCACAACCCACTGAGGGGACTGGGCTATGTCTGCTGATTGGTCAATATCTACTTCCACTCTCCAACACCATGCACAGCCACATGCACACCACTTCACACACACACTCACACAGCCATTCTCACATACCAGCCACACTCAACCATATGCTCACACCATACACTCATACCATAGTCACACATACACAGCCACACACGGACACATACACACACATACCACACACTCACATACACTTATAGAAACAGTCACACACATCACATATACACACACAGCCCTTCCATTTAGCCACGTATGTGGCTACACAATCACATACAGCTATATCCGTACCCCACACAAAATCACACACACACACACACACACACACACACACACACACACACACACGCCACCTACAAAGACTCGGAGACACAAACCACATTCTCTCCCCCACACACAGCTACACGTACACACTGCCAACTTAGGCAAACATCAATAAATGCTTGCTGGGCGACACAGACTCTGAGCTCCTACAGCCCGGGACAGGCAACAAGGGGATGAAGTACTTCCGGGCCAGTGTAGGTGGTGTTTCCTCTGGGCCCTGAGGCAATAATGTCAGGGAAGGCCCGGTGGGCACATGCAGATGCTGTGCAGTGACGCGAACAAGAGACGAGGGGCAGAAGCATAGGCTGTGACAGGCCAGCGAGGGGAGAACATGACAGAATTCCTTCAGGTCAGCAAGTATTTCTGGAACACACAAGAGCAGTCACAGAAATGGCACTGACTACACTTTGGGCTGGATCCCGACAGCAACACACGCTACACAACTGTGCAAATCGTTCAAGCCCTCTGAGCCTCGACTCCCACATTGCTAACACCACAATGCCCGTCTATACTGCAAGACCCTGTGGCAGAGGAGATGCCCCCAGTGTGCTCAGGGTGCTTGTGGCTCGTACGAGTAATGCAGCAAATGACAGCTGCTATGACCACTGTGGAGGACACTGTATCCTAGCCCTGCACAGATTACAAGAATGAAAAAGATCCCTTATGTGATCTTGTTAGAAAAGAAAAAAAATTTTGTACAAGAAAAAAAAATGGTATGAGGCTCTGTATCACGTAAAACGTGAAATACTGACAGAGCCGCAAATCTTTGAGTGGAGGCCAGCAAATTTTTCTGGGAAGGGCCAGGCAGTAAATATTTAGTAAATATCTGGGACCACAGGCTCTCTGTTGCAACCACTCAGCTCTGCCCTCTTATCATAAAAGCAGCCACAGACAATACATAAAGGAATGAGTGTGGCTGTGTTCCAATAAAACTTTATTTAAAACAAAGGGAGGTGAACTACAGTTTACCAATCCCTGTTAGAGAGTGTTTCTTGAAGAATCTAGGTAAGAGACATGAAGGAGGCTTGCTTCACTTTCAAAAAATGCAAGTAAACATCAGAAACAATTTATTCCTTGAGACTTACTCACTGTTTCCTGACAATCCTTTTAAAAATCACAACCCCATTCTCACACTCCCAGTCCTCCTGCCCCACGGCACTTCTCACCTGCTAACATTCTATTTATTTCTTATGTCTCTTATTTAGTGTCTGCCTCCCCCTGCTAAAACGTAAGTCCCATGAGGGACAGGGTCTTTGTTTTCTAATGTAACCCAAATTCCTCAAGTAGTGACAGTCATTTATAGCAGATCTTTAGTATAAATATTCGTTGAATGAGCTGAGTGAAGGGCAGGCCTGTCTCCAGAACCCATTTCATGCTTATTTGTGGCTGTCTCACCCACTGTTCCTCAGGAATCTGCCCACTCTTCCACCTTTAGGCACCCAGAGAATCTTGTACGTACTTGCTTTTACAGTGATTTGCAATGATCTTTTCACATATCTGTTTCCACTAGCAGTTAATAAGCAATTTGAGGGCAGAGACTGGGTCATTTTGGCAATCTCTCCCCAGCACGAGGCACTGCTTAAATGTTTTCTGAATGGATGAGTCAATGGATATGATCTGAATTCAGTCCCCAGCCCTGCCCACCCCACCTAGGGCTCCAGTACCTCTCTCTATGCAGGGGGCCACCTGGCCCCCTCTCACATCCAATCCTGTTATTCTAAGAGCCTGCAATATACCAGGCTCTGAGTCTACTCAGGACTGAATGCTGGATCAAAATAAGAGCAAAAAGATTTAGGATTATGATTATTACCCTCAGTTTATGGCACAGTGCAGGGAAATAGGCCATGAACTCCAGAAACTGGCATAGAGGGTAGAAGATTCAGTTCTGGGGGGTCAGGAACTGTGCCTTAGTCATCTTTGTATCCACTCCTCAATGCCTCACACAGCACCTGGCATATTACACAGGAACCAATAATAATAAACATTTTTGAAGCTCATACTAAGTGCTAGGCCCTGGACTGAACACTATATGCAAATCATGTCATTTCATTTTCACAACTTATTTTAGAGATGAGGAAACTGAAGCTCAGAGAAATGGTAACTTGCCCCAGGGCACACAGCAAGTGAGTGGCAGAACTGGGACCTATGCCCATCACTCCAAAACCAGTGCTTTTAAGCATGACACTAGTAAAGGACAGAAGAGGGAGGAAGACAGGGAGGGAGCAGGGAAGGGAGATAGGAGACCTGGGGGGGGGGGGCAGTGAAGGGAAGGAGGAAGGAATAAGAACAGTGCCAGCCAGGTGAGTTCAAATGACACAGGCGTGTCTCCCTGAAGAGATCAGGGATGCGCAGCTGCATGGATAAGGCGGTATCTGAGTTAGGACTTTGCAGGATGGGTGAGCAAGATTGGGACTTGCAGAGATGGGGAGCCCGCTATCTACTGAGAACACAGTGGCAGGTAAAGTACAGAAGCACTTTCATGTCACATTTCAAGGATTTGGGGAGAGAAGGGCCCACTGGGCTTGCTTTCCCAGGAGGCTCAGAGGTACCGGGAGGACCAAGGGTGGAAGGGATTGGGGCAGTGGAAAAGCGGCCAGGGCTAAGAAGTAAAAGCCAAGAAGACAGGGCTGGTGATCACAGATGCTGAAGGTCCAAGGCCTGGGTTAGAGTGAAGGGGCCAAGCTGGAAAGTGGTCTGAAGAGCCAAAGTTCGGGGTCTTTGGGGTCAAGTTAAGGGGTAGGGGGTGGGGGATGATGCAGAGAGAGGAGCTTATTTTAGAAAGACCAGGGACAAGGTGTTGAAGAACAGGGGACTGTACCGGGCAGCTGCATAACGGGTCGGAGAGAGGGGACGAAAGAGGTCAGAGGGTCCGGAGGAGGTGGGCAGGGGAGAGGAGGCGCGGGCTGCAATCAGAGGTGTCGGGACCGCGGCCCAAGAGGCCGGGTTGTGAGTAGCACGGAGAAGCCGACGGCGGAGTCTAGGAAACGCGCGTCCTAGAGCATAGGTCTGGGTTTTGAGTAGCCGGATGGCTTGGGAGGGAGGGATGAGAGAGGGGGAGGGGCTGGCCCCCAAGGTATGGTCGGTGCCGGGGGTGGGGGGGACCTGGACTGAAAGGCCAACCGGAGGGCCTGTGGGGAGGGGATAGGGCAGCCTCCTGGCCGCGCGGGCCAGGGGCGGGGGCCGGGGGTCGGGGCGAGGGGACCCACTGGGTCCCATTTGCTCCCCGCCGGATCCAGGGAGCAAAGCCACAGCCTCTAACTCCCCGGAGGGAGGGAGGGGGCCACGTTCAGGGTTCCCCGCGAAGCCGTCTCCACCTCCCCCCGCGACCTCGGGCCCAACCCGGACCCACCTCGCTCCCGCCGCTCCGTCAGGGACAGCGCCGCCTCGGTGGGCCGGGGGAGGAGCCGGAGCCGGAACCCAGAAAGGACCCGCCCTACCTCTCCAGGATTGGTTCCTGAGGGGGATCCTTCCTTCCCACTGGCTATGTTGGCTGCCACAACGCAAGAAACCCAGGCGGAGCCGCCAATAAGCTTTGGCCTCGGGCAAGGCCTGCTGGGAGTTGTAGTCCTGAGGAAGAGCGTAGCGTCGGAGAAGGAATTTGCGAAGTTTAGAACTGAGTAGCCGAGACTGAGTTCCCTTACAAGGTGCTCGGATTTCCTTCTACGTTCACGCGTTAAAAGACCAAGGTGCGGGGCCACTGGTCTGGCCAGCAGTAGAATACGTAGAGGTAACGTGCATGACCCCCAAGGGATCATGAACTCAGTTTCTTCTTTACTTTGAGTAGGTGGCCCTTGACGATCCTGTAGACATCCCGTGAAGCCTTGAGTCGCGCGCTTTACTTGAGGTTTATAATTAAAAGTCAAAAGATTGTAGAACTAGAAGGGAGATTAAAGATCAACTAACCCAATCCGTTTGTCAGAGAAACTAAACGTTCCCCGTATGAGGCGCTGCCTCTGGGTTCCCCAACGCTTCTGCACAGGGATTTTTCTGCGTCCTACCTGGATAAAGCTGACCGCCATTCATCAAGCCGGCACAATAAGACTTCTAAGGTATATCCAGGGTGAAGGTTTTTTCCCCCCAAGTTTTAGTTAATAAAAAAAAAAAAAGTCTAATAGAATATTCTCATACCTGCACGGTATTTCAGCGCAAAGAGCAAAGAATATTGTCTTCAGAGCTAGATAAACTAGATTTATAATCCCAGTTCTACCGCCCAACCATTTGGAGCACCATTTTCCTCCCCCACAAAATCCCTAGCAGAATTGTTTTAAGGATTAAATGAGGTAAAGCTTCTGCTTCCGCAAATATCAGTTCTCTTTCCTGCTGGTAAATTCTCTTGCGTGCAGCTAGTGTGAACAATGGGAATCCGTTTTTAAGATTAAGATATTCCGGAAAGTATGTTTGAAACTGAGTATGAATGAGTAAAATATAAATCCCCCACATACACTATTGCTTATAAATTGATATAAATAAAATACTGAGAAGGCAGATCAGAAATAAAACTGTGGCTTTATTTCTAACTGTGGTTAAAGCTTGCCTGGGTGGATTCAAGGCTGTTCAAAAACCAATCCCATAAGGTGTTTTCCTATTACCAGTGTAAAGCCCTTCCCCACAACTTCTCATTCATGATGAAAATAACATCATGCCGAACAACAAATATCAAATTTTATTTAAGAACTGTACAAAAGCAAACCAAAAATTTCACCCATGCATTGTGATAATTACATTTAGATACCAACTTGACCAGGCTACAGAGTGCCCAGACATTTGGTTAAACATTATTCTGACTGTTTCTGTGAAGGGTGTTTTTGGATGAGATTAACATTTAAATTGGTAGAATGAGTAAAGCAGATTGCGCTCCCTAATGTGGGTGGGCCCCATCCAATCAGTTGAAGGCCTGAATAGAACCAAAAAGCAACCCTCCCCCTAGTATGAGAGAATTCTTCCTGCCTGATGGTCTTTAGCCTGGGACATCGACTTTTTTCCCTACCTTCAGGCTCGTATGGAAATACTGATTCTTCCTGGGTCTCAAGCTTGTCAACCTTCAAACTGGAATTACGCCACTGGTTCCCCTGCGTCTCCAGCTTGCTGACTAACCCTGTGGATCTAGGGACGTGCCAGCCTCCATAATCATGCGAGCCAATTCCTTATAATAAATCTCTTTATACATATAAATATAACAAATATATATTGCCCTGGAGGATCCTAACTATTACAAGCACTAACAGAGAGCACTTCTGACAGAAAGATCCAGTTTCTTTTGGGTAGAACTGTGTACTCATCTGCAAACTGAGATCAGCCAGTATTTCCACAAAGAGGCCAGATCACATATGTGGAATGACTTGAAAGTGAGTAGGCTTCTTTCTGCGATCCATGCCAAAAAATGAGGTTCATTATTTTAACCTCACACAGGAGCTACCAACTTCCTATTTGAAATCAATACTCTCACCTAAGAGGCTGTTTGCTAGACAACTAGTCACGTCTTCTAGGATAATGGTCTTGGGGGGAAAAAGGCCTCTACATTGGTGGTTAAAACTGCCACTTTTCTAGCTGGACTTCTCTAAATCCCAGGAGGAAATTTGAAAAGGCCAGGGTAACAGACAGATTCATCCGTGGCTGTCTTTCCAAGGCCACGCACAGCTGGGCTGCTGTGTTTGAAACTGTGCCTCCCAGCTCCCTGATTGTGCTCTTGAGGCTTTTCAGGATTATGGCTACCACATTTAAAATCCCTGCACCTAGTTAGCATCAATAGGTAAGTTAGCTTTGAAAATGTGTATACTAGCTCTGGATGTCAGGAAACTATACTGTAAACAAGCATCAAGGAAACAGAAACGGATGGCGTGTTTTACCCTTCCAGCTTCCCCACCCCATATTCCAGAAGAAAGAAGGAAGAGCGTGTGACCCAAAACATGTTTACTTTTAAAAAGCTGGCTTTGGTCTGCACTGAGAGAAGGAAAAAAGCCATTCTGGAGGGAACAAGAGAGAAGTCAGGGACTGGGCACCATAACTTCATGACTAAACGGTCAAGGGCAGGATGAGGCAGGGTGAAGTTCCTCTAAATAGCTCCTCGAGTAGAGAACCCCTGTATCTTGATGACGCACATTCACCATCATCACCTAAACCTAATCATCACCAAACCTTCATTTGGTTTTCAGGAATTCTTCCAGAGGAATGGGAGTTTTAAGTCCCCAGAAGGATGACAGAGTTTAGAACTGAGCCCTGAGTGAAAGGTGGTTTGAATCAAAACCACAAGGTCTAGAACTGGAGAAAGACAATGGGATGTTTCAGAATCAGGTGTTGGGCCAACAGCCTGAAATCCAGGGCAGGGTCCTGGACCATCGGGGGAGCAGGTAATGAGGTACAGCCCTAAAAAGAAGGAACCTTGAGCCCCTGTAGGGCTGGGGCAAGGTCAGTGGGCCAGGGCAGGATCATATCCCCAGGTGGGAAAAGCTCCGGTGCCTGAGGAGGGAGTAAGGAAGGGTCCACGTTCATGGCCACGTCTCCATTTGCATGGCCTTTTTCTTCTGACTTGCGGCCAGTTGGTGGCTCTGATTTCTGGAGTTCTGAGCAGATGACTAGAGGTGCTGTATTTTTCCCTCCATCATGAAGGCAAGGCTCAAAGAAAGGGCGAAGGGGGCCAGAGAAAGTGTGGGTGAAAGTAAAGATGTGGGATCTGCTGGTCACATTGTAGAAGGAAATGACGCCTGCTTCATAGTCCAGGAAAATCCCCACACACCGTGGGGGCTCCTTGAGGCGCAGGGTGGTCTGCGGGGATGTGAGAGCTTCATACTCCTGCTCGCTACTCTGGCGGACAAGCCAGTGTCCATTGGCGGGCGTGGCAGTGACCTTCCCCTTCCTGCTCACGGACTCACTACACACTCCCAGGGCCCATTTGGTCTTGTTTCCCACGTCCACCTCCCAGTAGTGACAGCCCATCGTGAAGTACTCAGCGCCCAGGACGCTGACGACAAAGTCAAATCTCTGGGGACCATCAGGTACAGGCTGCCTTCTGTCTCCAAGCTTCACACATCGCCGGTCCTCAGACAGGATGAGTTTGGGATGTGCTGTGTCTGGGTCCAGGGTCACTGCCACTGCAGAGAGTCACTGACAGGTGAGGCTGGGAAAGGCAAGGTCTTAGGGGATTTTTGGGTAGCTTTGGAGAGAAAGATAATCCCTAGGTCTGTGACCACTGTCATTGGCCTATTTGATCTCATGGTTCCCCCTCCCCTATATGTTCAGGAGCCAAAGAGAAACTGTCTTCCAGTCTCCTAGATCTGCTGGCAGTGTATTAAGTTGAAAGAGGAAAATGTATTTCATCTGTCTGTGAAGCTGCCTTAATCCTTAGGAAACACTGCCTTTGTCTTTAATGGTCCCAGGGAATCTAATGTATGATAATAAACATAGGCTTTGATGTTAGACCCAGTAGCCAGCTAGGATGTGTGAGTCCCAGCTCTGCCACTTGCTGGTTTTGTGACCTTGGGCTTGTTATTTATCTCCCAACTTCAGTTCCTTCCTCTGTAAAATGGGAGTAGGGGTTCCCATTTGTACAAATGTGTATAAATTTTGGGGCGCCTGGGTGGCTCAGTTGGTTAAGTGACTGCCTTCAGCTCAGGTCATGATCCTGGAGTCCCGGGATCGAGTCCCGCATGGGGTTTCCTGCTCAGCAGGGAGTCTGCTTCTCCCTCTGACCCTCTTCCCTCTAGTGCTTTCTCTCTCTCATTCTCTCTCTCTCTCAAATAAATAAATAAAATCTTTAAAAAAATGTTTATAAATTTGTACAAATTTGATGAGCTAATATAGGAGATGGTGCCTAGTTCACACAGTGAGTGTGTGATGCTTGGTAGTTAAAATCACTGCTTATAATTATCAGTTCTAAATGGTAATATAGAGAGAAGGATTCTTCTTTAAAATTGTGGATTACGAGGGTCACAGTGAGTCTCCCCCCTTCCCTACGTACAGAAAACAGGCTCTTCTTGGAGAGTGAACCCGTGAAATCTGTACTCAGTCAGGTGGTGGGAGTGAGCCAGACCGTGAGTGTCAGAAGGGTTTCTGAGCACCTTGGTTGGTGATCTGGTGTTCTCTCAAGTGCCAACTCATCAATTCTATTGTACCTGCCTGCCTGAAGGAAGCCATGTGAACAGAAGGGGGATGAGCAGCCAGAAAACTGATAAGCAAAGCAGTGAAAATAACAGTTCTCATTAAAATAACAGCAAAAAAACTGCCCACTACTTAGGAATAAAATGAAAAGAGATGTGCAAATCGTTTAGAATAAAAACTACGAAAGCTTTTTGTAGTTTGCACTGTGGGAGCATGGGCCTCACCCATTCTCTTCTCTGAGAATCTCAGTCAACACCCCCCCAAGAAAACTGATTTTTGAAGAAGGATGTGGCAAGTGTGTAGACAG